GAAATCATGGATGAGGCGCTGAAGAAGCAGGGACACTTGAAGGTTTACTGGGGTACTGCGACAACAGGACGGCCACATTGCGGTTACGTATGTTGACATCGCGAGAGACGGTCGCGTGCACTGCTAACGATATATGCTGTAGTTCGTACCTATCCTTAAGCTCGCGCAATTCCTTGCTGCAGGCTGCCACGTCAAGATCCTGCTCGCAGACATCCACGGCTTCCTCGACAACCTAAAAGCGCCCATCGAGCTCGTCAAGTTCCGCGCGGAATACTACCGCTACACCATCACCGCGCTACTCAAGGCTGTCAAAGTGCCAATCGACAAGCTAGAGTTCGTGCTGGGATCGAGCTATGAGTTGAACTCGGACTACACCATGGACTTGCTGAGGCTAGCAAGTATAACAAGTGAAGCAGCAGCAAAGAAGGCCGGCGCAGAAGTCGTCAAGCAAACCGAGAACGCGCCTTTGAGCGGCCTCATCTACCCACTGATGCAAGCCCTCGACGAGCAGTACCTCGACGTAGACGTCCAATTCGGAGGCGTAGACCAACGCAAGATCTTCGCTCTCGCAAAAGACGTACTCCCCAAGATCGGCTACAAAGAGCGCGCCCACTTAATGAACCCCATGGTTCCCGGTCTGCAAGGAGGAAAGATGAGCTCGTCCGACCCAGACTCTAAGATCGACGTACTAGACGACGCAGACGTCGTTAAGCGCAAGCTCAAGAAAGCGCACGCGGCGCCCAAGATCGTCGAAGAAAACGGCGTCCTCAGCTTCGTCGAATACGTGCTCCTGCCCGCCAGCCACCTCAACTACGGCGAGCCCAAATTCGTCGTAAAGCGGCGCGACGCCGAACCCCTCACCTACACCGATATCAAGAAGATGCAAGAAGACTACGCAGCCGACATTCTCACACCCCAGGATCTCAAGCCCGCGGTTACGGAGGCGCTCAACGCGCTTCTTGAGCCTGTGCAGAAGGAGTTCCAGGGCAACCAGCAGTGGAAGGATATCGAGCAGAAGGCTTACCCGCCGCCGCCGGTGGTCAAGAAGGAGAAGAAGGTTAAGAATAAGGGGACTTTTCATCCGAAGCAGAGGAATGTGGAGGCTAAGCCTGATGGGCATGTTGAGGGTGAGGATAAGGACAAGGTTGATGTTGGGACTGAGGGCGGGGAGAAGGCTATTGAGGGGCTGAGTTTGGAGGAGAAGAAGTAGATAGGTTGGATGGAGGTGTTTAGTGATACCGTGTAGACGAGCATACTAGTTGCATCCGTCGATGCATATGCCTACAACACTCTGTTTAGTAGTGTCTGTGAGGATTACATACTGTGGTTGGTACAAATATCTCGTCCTCCATGGAGCCTAGAGAGGGCTACCGTGGTATTCCACATCCAACAGCTATGAGTCTTCCTGTTATTCCACAGTCGCCAGTCTAAAGACTGCCAACTTCGCACTTTTCCCCATCCCAGTGATTGTCTCTCCAAGCCCCTCCAGCCCTCTCTCAAGAATACAACTCCGCCTCGTCCCTCCTCATCTCCATCCCCCCAGCCCCCTCCCCATGCATCCCATGCTCCGGCCTCTTCAACGCAGTCCCCTCCTTCAAGTACAAAATCAACCTAAACGCCGCATTCCCATTCAAGTAATACCGATGCAGCCTCTTACTCCGTATAAACCCCAGCCGCTCATACAGTTTCAAACTCGCGGTGTTCGACACCTCGGTCTCGAGGACGATTTCGTCGGCGTCGCGCGCAGTCATGGCGTCGATGGCGAGGCGAACGAGTTGCGTGGCTATGCCGCGGCCGCGGTATTCTTCTTGCGTGGCGAGCATGGCGATGTAGCCGCGGTAGGTGCCGCTGCGGTGGGGCTCCAGTTTGCAGGTTATTACGCCGATGAGGGTGTTTGTGGGGGAGAGGGCCTGTGGGGGGAGGGGGTTAGATACTGTAGAGTGGTTTGGGGAAGGGGGAGAGGGAAGTACCATGTAGCATAAATCACCCCATTGGTATAAGAAGTACCGGTATACATATATACTGTATGGCTCAGAGAGGTCTTTGGAAATTAGTTGGCGGATGGCGGGGAGGTATTGCTCTTCTTTCGAGGGTTCGTATTGGACATATTGAAGGTCGTCGGGTTCTTTCAGCTGTTTGGTCGAGGGTGCCGCCGTCGCCGTCGTCGCATCAACTGTGACGTCGCCATCTTCATTGCCGGCCATGGCGCGTGGGAAGGAGAGCGATGCGCGTATCTCAGCCCCTCATAGCAGCCGGCTTGGCCCGCCGTGTCAGGAACGTGCTTTCTCGTGCATCCTTGTGCCGATCATTCCGTCACATGCCGAGGGACGATAACCAAAAACAATCTCGTGGCAGTCGCCCACGCCTTTCCCGTACAACCCCGCGGGTACAACTTCCAACGCTTCGTTCATGTCTTTCTTGAGACGCCGCTTCGGCGGTGGCGGCGGCGGCGACGACAGCGAGATCTCGACGCCCGAACTGTCCCGCGAACCTTCTCCCGGACCGGATGGGAAGTTCAAACGGCCTGCCAACTTGCGCCTGATTACCGCGGAGCAGCTGCAGACGCTCAAGAAAAGGGGGCAGCATAAGAAACGGAGGAATTTCTGGGTGTTTGGTCTGGGAGGCATATTCGGGTTGTTGCTGGCGGGCTTCTTTGCGAGCAGTAATGACATGATTGATCTGAGTAGTCTGGAGGGCGTCAACCTGGAGAGCATCATGGAGGCGCTGCCAGACAACTTTGTGAAGAGCGCGCAGCAGATGCAGGTACGCGCGACTTTCGCTTCCTACAGAGGAGGATTGGATGGGAGATTCTGTGGGTTGAGAGGAATCGAGGCTGACTGCCCCAACTCAGTAGAAATCAGAAAAAGACGCCGTAAACTACGATTCCTTCGCCGTCGGTCTTCACGCGCAGAAACAAGGCATCAAAGCCAAACACCCTGTTATCATGATCCCCGGTGTCATCTCCACGGGTCTGGAATCCTGGGGCACGGAAGAAGGGTCGAGACAATACTTTCGCAAGAGATTGTGGGGGTCATGGACGATGATGCGCGCGCTCGTCCTCGATAAGGCGCAATGGAAACGACACATTATGCTCGATAAAGACAGCGGTCTCGATCCACCCGGCGTGAAGCTACGGGCAGCGCAAGGTTTCGACGCAGCCGACTTCTTCATAACAGGCTACTGGATATGGAATAAGATTCTGGAGAACCTCGCTACCATCGGGTATGATCCAGGCAATGCCTTCACTGCAGCCTACGACTGGCGCATGTCGTACATGAACTACGAGATACGCGACCAGTACTTCACCCGTCTGAAGTCGCACATCGAAGTCGCCGTGCGCGTGTCGGACAGGAAAGTCGTGCTTCTCTCGCATTCCATGGGTTCACAGGTACTCTACTACTTCCTGCACTGGGTTGAAGCAGAAGGTTACGGCAACGGCGGACCAAACTGGGTCGACGAGTACATCGACAGCTGGATCAATATCTCCGGCTGCATGCTCGGCGCCCTAAAAGACATGCCCGCCGTCCTCTCCGGCGAAATGAAAGACACAGCCCAACTCAACGCCTTCGCCGTCTACGGCCTCGAACGCTTCCTCTCCCGCTACGAACGCGCCGAAATCTTCCGGGCAATGCCCGGTCTCTCCTCCATGCTCCCCCTCGGCGGCAACGCCGTCTGGGGCGACGAGACCGGTGCGCCCGACGACCTACCAGGCCAAAACGTAACCTTTGGCCCCTTCATCCGTTTCCGAAACGCAAACAGCACGATGACGCAGAAGAACATCACGGTGGATGATAGTCTGCCCTTCTTGTTCCGCAACACAGAACCCTGGTTCAAGAAAATGATTCAAACCTCCTACTCCCACGGCGTAGCCCACACGACCAAACACGTCGAGGACAACCAATTCCTGCCCGCTAAATGGGTCAATCCCCTCGAGACCCGTCTTCCCCTCGCCCCGAACCTGAAAATCTACTGTTTCTACGGTGTGGGTAAGGATACGGAACGTGCGTATTATTACCGCAGCGACGATGATCCGTTGAGCGGGTTGAATGTTACTCTGGATACGATGTTTACCCAACAGGAGGGCAATGTGGATCATGGGGTTGTTATGGGTGAGGGGGATGGGACGGTTAATCTTTTGAGTAGTGGGTATATGTGTACGAAGGGGTGGAAGATGAAGAGGTATAATCCTGCGGGTGTGAAAGTGACGACGTTTGAGATGAAACATGAACCTGATCGGTTTAGTCCGAGGGGGGGTCCTAATACTGGTATGTCTCTTCTTCTTCTATATCCTTCTCCATCCTTTTCCTTTACCTTCTTTGCTTTCTGCTTTCTATTGACGGGGTTTGAGCAAGTACTGACGCCTTTCATCAAACAGCGGATCACGTAGACATCCTCGGGCGAATGTCCCTCAACGATCTGATACTGCAGGTGGCGGGTGGACGCGGCGAGTTGATCAACGATACCATTCATTCCAATATCAGGGAGTACGCCGAGAAGGTCAAGATTTACGAGGAGGAAGACTGAGCTTCCCTTATAAGTACAAGTCAAGCCGGGGATCGTGTATATGAACTAGCGATTCCAGCGATGAATAATTACGTTGCAAGGAGATGATGAGGGATGGATGGATGGGCAGGGGGGCTCCGGCTCAGATCATTTGATTGATTGATCGATCGCTGGAGACGGAGGGAATGATACCATAGACTACTGTTTATTCACTCGCTACACTCTTCGCTTTTATCGATGTCTTCTCAGCCAGGAGACTAGATTGGACAGGTGTGTTTTCCATTATGCCAAGGTGAGAGACGGCGGTGTACTTCAAGCTAATGGTATTGTTGTGAGGATACTTGGCTTGGTGAATTTGTGTTGGGAGTTTGTTCTCCTTCTCCTTCCCCTTCGTCCTCCACATCTACAGTAATGAACCGATAATGATGATATTCCTCCTCCTCCTTCACCCCCACCCCCTCCTCCCCCTCTCCCTCCCCCTCCCCCTCAGACCCCCCCTAAAAGTCCGCCTTCCCACCCATAACCTTCGCCGCATTAACCGCACTCATCTTGTTCGCCCAGCCCTGCGCCGGCACAATCTTCCTCACCGTCCTCACCTCATCAGACGCATATCCTGGAATACGGATATTGTAGTTGCGCTCAAGTATAACTTGGATATCGCGGATGTCGAGCTGGGGCGAGTCGCGCAGCTTGCTAAGCTTGCACGCGTTGCTGATGACGTTGTCGACGAAGTCGTCGGCGAGTTGGAGGACGGCCTGCGGAGTAGTGATTAGATAGAGTTGGGTTTTGGTGGATGGGGAGGGGGAGCTTACTTCTTCGACTTCTGGTGTTAGGGCTTCTTCTGATCCACCGGTTACCTGTCTCACGAGTTCGTCTAGCTTACGCTTGCTGAGCACACGATCGCCTTCGCCTTCGAGTTGGAAGGGGGGTGGACGTGGGATAACAGGTTGGCCCATGGGTCCTGGGGCGCCGTTGGTAGGACCACTCATAGTAGGTCGGGATTGGCCCATGTGGACGGCTTGGGGTGAGGTCACGTTAAGGTGGCGTGGGATGGGCATCTTGGGGTTATTAAGCTGCTCGCGCTCGCGACTGCCAAAGTTACCGCCCTGTCCGCCTTGCTGCATGGGTGTGTTAGTGCGTTGCGGGTCGGTGTAGGAGCGGTTCGCGGCGCTGACGGCGGCGCTGTGGGAGAGAGGGATTGGTGGGCCGGGCGCGTTCGAGGCGGCGGATTGAGGATGTGGTGAGTTGCTCTGCTGGTGCGCGTTCGCTTGCATGGGGTTGATCTGGGGTCGCTGCTGTTGTTGCTGGTGGAAGTTCTGTTGCTGCTGTCCTTGCGCAAATTGCGGCATCTGGCCTGGAGGCATCGTCTGCGAGTGAGGCCCTGGCGGAGGTCGAGCTTGCTGCTGTCCTTGCTGCATTTGTTGCTGTTGCTGCTGCGGAAGTGAAGGCGGCATCTGCTGGTTGTGTTGTTGATTATGCTGCTGTTGCGGCGGGCCTTGCTGGTGGTTTCCCTGGTTTTGTTGCATGTTGAACTGAGGTTGTGGTTGGGGTTGAGTTTGCGATTGTTGTTGGGGTTGTGGTTGTAGTGTCTGTCCGCCCTCAATCTTGATCTGCGGCTCCTCTTTCACTTGGGGCTGCGCTGGCATGTTAGGTTGTGAAGGCTGGCGCTGAGGCGCTTGGGGCTGTTGTTGCGGCGGTTGCTGCTGCTGTTGCTGTTGTGGGGGGGATTGCGCTGTGTTCTGGCCTTGAGGTTGCGCCTGAGCCTGGGGTTGCGCATTTCCCTCGCGCTCCTCCTTCCATTGCTTCTGCATGGCACGGAACTTGTCAATCTGGGCCTTGATCTTAGCAGACTCCTTCTCGATGTTGGCCTTCATCATGAGCTGTTCCTGGGGTAGTTCCTGTCCATTGTTCTGCCTTTCGGTAAGTTGGTGAACAAGCCTCCGCCTCTGCTCGTTGAAGGAAGCTTGTTTGGCAAGCATGTTAAGATAACCAGACCGGTACTCCTTGATTTTGATCTCGTACTCGGGTGTGCCTGGCGCCGGACCGTTCGTGGGTCCCTGCATGGGGAACTCGTGAACATGCTTGACGATAGCAGGATCAACCTGGCCGCGTCCTGGGTTCTGGCCTTGGTTGGGCTGTTGTCCTTGGGTTTGCTGAGTGGGTTGCGCGCCGGCACCGCCAGCTCCTCCGTTCGAACCCTGACCTCCTTCCTGCTTGACCGCGTTGGGGTTCTGCTGGCCTGCTGCACTCGACTGTCCAGCCTGTCCTTGGTTCTGATTTCCCTGTTGCTGCTGTGCCTTCATCTTTGCGCGATACTGGCGTTCGCGCGCGATGAACTTTTGCGACCAGTCCGTCAGCTTCTGACGCGCCGTGGTGTTCTCCTGGCTGCCCGGCGGGTTGTTGTTGAAGATATTCCAAGAGCCTTGCATGATTGAGCGGTATTTTTGCTTCTCGTCTTCGGGAAGACATTGTAGCTTGAGGATGTCATCGGGGCGTAGCAGCTGTTGACCTTGCTGCTGGCCGCCGCTGGCCTGCTGTGGCTGGGATTCGCTCATCGCGAGGGCTGCGGACTTCGGAGCCGCGCGTTGGAGGGTCGAGTCGTATGCGAGGTTTGATGCGGGAAAAGATCTTGGCGTTGTCGCGTAGTTGCTGTGATTAAGGGATGTGTGGCGGAGATGGGTTCTTGGTGGGTGAAGTTTGAAGATGGGAGTGGTGAGGTTTGGAGTGATGGTCCACGGATGGGGCTAAGCACCCGACAACGACCATGTCGCGCGTTTGTACGACCGCACGTGCACGCGTCGGTCCTCACTAACACATACGTGGATCAGCCAAGCAACTTCTCTATTATCTTGCATCTAACTAATGCTACCGCTCAGATGCAAATGGAATCTCACTACTCTGGGAATCCACCTTCGAGACTTCTCCTTTTGCGAGCGCCCGCTCTCTGGTATTCCGGACTTCCCACTCGAATTCCTTGAGTGCCCTGATCTCGCTACCAACAAACAATAACCCCATCAATCCATCGATGACACCAACACTAAATCCCAATGTACTCAACAACATCAGTATGAAGGCAACGTAGTTCTTGGGTGACCACCAGACACCTATTAGGCAGCCAACGGAGAAAGAGAGCTGGTAAAAGAAATGACCTATGCGCAGTTTACGCTGTATCCTTTCTCGGACCTGGTATTTGAGTATAGTTGCCATGATCTCATCATAGACCTCGATGGGTAAATACTGCTCAGGCAGTGCCCATGGAGATAGCCGTATGGCTGACGGGTTAGTAGAAGTCCTCGTCAATGTCGCTTCGACAGAGAAGTGGTCGCTCAAGGAGCAGTGTAGTGTAGGATGACGCATCGCCATGCCTACGTTGGCTTCCTTGAGCTCCCACTCAGCTGTCTCCTCCTTTGTCTCTGGGTGATGGTATCGACCGCTGCTGAAGAAGACGTAGTCAAGTCGCTTCGCCTTCGGGTCTGGGACGGCAGGATCTATCTGCACATTCTCGCCCTTGTTGAGACGTCTCTGTTGTCCTTTGTTCCACCGCCAGGAGTTCAGCTCACTATCGCATGTTGCTCCATTGACAGTCATGTTGAACTGCGCAGATGGTATTGGTACGCCGCGAACCTGCTCGACCTTGTCTCTTGCCGCACCGATAGAGGATTCAGGGTGTAGTATGCGCCATACGTCTCGAACAGGCGAATGCGTTTCTATGATACGGTGTGCGAGAGATAAGGGGATCATGTTGAAGTCGCCCATGCCGATGACAAGATGTCCGCGCTCGGCCGCTGCGCGCATAAGTTTTGTGATTTCCCACGCTTGGGCTGTCCGGTGACATATGTAGGAGTCGTGTGGCTCGCTTTCGTATGGAGCATGAAGCTATTGGAGTCAATTTGTATACTTTGTAGTGGAAGGAGCGACTAACATGTGTGCAAAACACCTCTGCGATATCTCTCTTCGACGGCCCCATCTGGATCCTCGCACATGCGACTCCCTTTCCCACAAACCAATCGCCACGATAGAAAGCAGCAGGCCGTCCGTTCAGAGGATACCGCACCATGTTGCTCTCGAGTATAGGCCATCGTGACAGAATGACTAAACCACCACCAAAGATTCCGCTATGATAGAACTTGCCATAAGGCAGTATATGTTGTGTCTTCTCCCGAATCGCATTGTAGTCCTGCTGCGTCCAGCACTCCTGGAGTCCGACAATGTCTGGCTGCGGACTGGCGGCGGCGATCTGGTTTCCGATTTCGGTAAGGCGCTCATTGCGCAGCTTGGAGATGAACTTGAGACCCCAGCAATTGAGCGATAGGATGCGTATGCTCGAGGGTGGCGGGCCGAGTTGTGAATCCATTGTGTAGGTTGACGCGAGTTGAATTGGCGGGTATGATGCAACCCAGGAAATGTACCTGAGATGCTGCAGGGATGCTGGGGACCGCCTGCACGCTAACTTTCCTACTGCCGATCAGTCGCGTTCCGCAATTCACTGCGCAACATCAAGCCAACTACCGCAATGGAAATGGACACTACACGGTCAACCTCACCCAAAAGACGGCGCGAAGACGAAGACGGCTACGATGATGAACGACCACGCAAACGCTCCGCCTCGCATGAACCGCCCAATGCCTCCCCCAGCTACAGGATAGCGGAAAGACCCGCGCGCCGATACAGCAGAGGCGACAGCGACGACGAACAACGCGAATACAGAGACAGGCGGCCCTCGTACTCGCGCTCGCGATCACGGTCACGCCGCTCCAGCACCTCCTCATCCTCGCACCAGCGCCGCACATCACCCTCAAAGCCCACTACTTTAAACTATGCGCCCACGCTCATCCTGCGCGGCCACAAGAAAGCCATATCCTGCGTCAAATTCTCGCCCGACGGCCGCTACATCGCCAGCGCATCCGCCGACTGCACAATCAAGATCTGGGACGCCCACACCGGCGCCCTCGAACACACGCTCGAAGGTCACCTCGCAGGCATAAGCACGATATGCTGGTCCCTCGACTCCAAGATCCTCGCCTCGGGGTCCGACGACAAGAGCATAAGACTCTGGGACACGACCACGGGACTTGCCCACCCCACGCCTTTCATCGGCCACCACAACTACGTCTACAGCATAGCCTTCAGCCCCAAAGGCAACATGCTCGTCTCCGGCTCCTACGACGAAGCAGTCTATCTCTGGGACGTCCGCGCCGCCCGCGTCATGCGTTCCTTACCCGCACACTCCGACCCCGTTGGCGGCGTAGACTTTGTCCGCGACGGCACGCTCATAGTCTCGTGCTCGCACGACGGCCTGATTCGTGTCTGGGACACGGCAACAGGCCAGTGCCTACGCACCCTCGTCCACGAAGACAACGCCCCCGTCTCGTCTGTCATCTTCTCGCCAAACGGCAAATACATCCTCGCGTGGACCCTGGATTCCTGCATCCGCCTGTGGAACTATATTGAAGGGAAGGGGAAATGCGTGAAAACGTATCAGGGACATGTCAATAAACAGTACTCGCTTTCTGGTGCGTTTGGCACGTACACAGGGAAGGAAGAGGGTGTGGAGTACGCATTCGTTGCGTCGGGGGATGAAGAGGGGCAGGTGGTGTTGTGGGATGTTAGTAGTAAGAATGTGTTGCAGAGGTTGGAAGGTCATGGCGATGCGGTGTTGAGTGTGCATACGCATCCGACTGAGAAGCTGATTGTGAGTGCGGGATTGGATCGCACAATTAGGCTTTGGAGACCGAGAGAGGGTGAAGTAATTGTCAACGGCGAGAAGAAGACTGAGAAGGTCAATGGGGTGGGAGAGGAAGGGGGTGTAAATGGGATCGAGCGGGAGGAGACAAATGGATTTGATCCAGATGTCCTGCCGCCGAACCCACTTGCTGAGGGCTGAAAGGGGCCAATCGAACAGCGGTCTAAGGATGGCCAAGAAGAAGAAGATGGAAAGAATTGAATAGAATGTGGTGTAGTTTAGATACCCAAGTTCCCAGCGTATGATTGCGAGCACGTATTCTCTCCCTAAACCCGTTGTCCGTAAATCGTTAAGCATCGAAACGCCTCATGCTTTTTGGTATAGCCCAAACGCCTCCCCATGCCGCGAAACAAACTCGCGTCAAGTTTCAAGAAAACGCCATGAAAATGCCTACCCGTCAACCATACCACCCTGACCACCATCTCCCCACATCTCTTCCACTCCTAAACTTCAGCTTCTCAGCTGAAGTGTATCCCCTCTTGGTTGAACGCATACAACAACTTCAAGAAATCCCCCTCGTCACACAACCGCGCCCGCTTATCCGCCAACTGCGTCTCATCCTCCAACACCTTCCTTACCTTCTCCCTAACCAACTCACTCAACCTGCCCTTCCTCTTCCTATTCACACCATTAACCCTCTTCTTACTCTCCGCCTGGAGCTGTTTAAAGAAATCCGGGAGTTCATCGTCGGGATCATCGGGATCCGAAAACCCTTTAAATTCCTCGTCAAGATCCATATCCGCTTCCTCGTTATCTTCCGTAATCTCACTCGGATCCACCGGACTGTCATCAACAGGAATATCATTCTGCGCACACCACAACCGGTAATTCCCCCCCAGCAACTCCAACACCGCCGCCGTGCCCAGGAAACTCGCTCGCAACGTCCTGTTCTTCCTCACGAAACAGATGCGTAACAGACCATCCCACTCCTCATACGCAATCTGCGGCCGCGGGTTCTTCGGCTCGATACGCACGACGTTGCTCTCGACCTGCGGCGGGGGGTTGAAGTTATTACGGCCGACTTTCATGACGTGGCTCACTTTACTCCACATCTGCACGTTGACGGAGAGCCGGGAGTAGAGTTTCTCGCCGGGGCGTGCGAAGAGGCGCATGGCGAATTCGCGCTGGAACATGAGGATGCAGCAGCGAGGGGGGTGGGCGAGGGCGAGTAGTTTGAAGACCAATGGGGAGGAGATTTGGTAGGGCGTGTTGCTTATGCAGACGTCGAAGCGGGGGAGTTCGGCTTTTATCACGTCGCCCAGCCGGATTGTGAGACGTTTTTCTTCGGGACTGCCTTGGACTCGTTTTGTCAATTCGGCGGCCATGCGGGGGTCCATTTCTACGGCTGTTACTTGTTTGGCGGCTTTCAGGATTAGGACTGTCAGGTTGCCTGTTCCCGGACCGACTTCGAGGACGTGATCGGATTGCTTCAGGTGCGCTTTTTGGACGATGGCGGTTGCGACGCCGGGGTTTTTCAAGATATGCTGACCGAGGTCTTTGTCCATCTTGAAGATTGAGTGGGCGGCGGAGGCTTTGGCAGAGGTGGCGGCGGGGCGGGCGTAGGGGGAGGCATCTTTGTCGGCGCCTTTGCTGCGCTTTTGCTTTGCTTTCGGCATCGTAGGTGGTTATGGAGAGGTTTGATGCGGTCGAGTAGGATTTTCGTTGACGGAGAGAGATCGCGCGAGATCTGAGTAGTGCTGCGACGAGCTTGAGCGGGTAAGCTTGGCGGATGTGGGTACTGGCCGAACTTGCGATCGGTTGGCGTGGGTTGTTGGATCTGGCGACGATAATTTTTGGTGTTGTAGATCGGATTTACCGCGGGGTTAAGACATGTGAGCGCGCGACTAGCGTGGTCGCGTTCGCCTTGTGAGTTCCATGACGTTGATGCGACTTTCATCGCATTCTCGTAGTCCTTGAGCAAACTCTACCATTCTCGTATGCGAAATAGTATCGCGAACCTGACCTCAAGCCTTCCGTTTTCATCGCGTTGTCACTCTTTCAAAGTCGCCACACACAGTCATTCCCTCCTGAAATACCTATCCTTGCCGACGCGCTCCTTCCTCAGCAACCCTAGCAATTGCAGTCACTATCAGCATCGCAATTACACTCACTTCATACCACGTGCCCCTAATTACCCCACTGTACAACTGCGAACGCGCTCCCTATCGCGACCTTCATCAAATCTCCCGTCACCTCGACATGCTATCAGGAGTAGCACCCTAATCGCGCTCTCTCACCTTTACCTCGATCGCTCGCGCCCGTTTGCCGTCTACAAAAGCAGCCCTTCAGCCTTCGACCTCCGTCGCTCCTACACCTCACTCTTTGATAGCTCAGGAGCCTTAAGAAGCTTAGGAACCTCTTTGATAGACACTCATAAGCCTTTGGCTACAAGAATCATGGCCAGGAAGATCTCTAACGCGCCCTCAGACTCATCCCTTTCACCTCCTCCTGACAACCTCATGTCAGCCACCGAAGCCGCTACCGTCACCCAACCAGTAGCGAACGGCAAGAAGCGAAAGGCCGAGACAACACCCCGTACAAGGAGGACTAGAGCACAGCAAGTCGACGTCGAAGATGCTGTTGATGCCGTCAATGAGTCGCCTCGACCCAAGCGTCGCGCTGCCAAGAAGATAAAGGTCACAGAAGAGGTGGAAGATGAAGCCATGGCCCAAGAGAGCGGTGATGGCGAGGGCAAGTCTAAGAAGGCCGTTTCGAAACGCAACAAGAAGACTGCTGCGACAAAGAAGGCTGTAGTAGAAGATGACTCAGTCGAAGCTGAAGTCGATGCAGAGATAGAGGTCGACGCAGATGGAGATGACCAGATCGCGACCAAGGCCTCTGTCAAGAAAACCACACGAGGCAAGAAGAGCAAGGCCAAGATCGAAGACAGTGACCATGCAGACAAGCCTAAGCCCAAGCCCAAGCCCAAGCCTAAGGCAAAGGGTAAGGGCGGTACTGCAAAGATTCTACCACCACTAGCCGAACGCACCAAAGACTCAAAGCATCTGATTGGCGCCCATGTCAGCTCCGCCGGAGGTTAGTTCATATCACTCTTATATCCTATTTGCGAAGACCACTGGCTAACATGGACTCGAAAACAATCGTTTAGGCGTACACAACTCCATCATCAACCTTGTATATATCGGGTATGTTTTCGATCTCCCACACTCACCATTTTGAGCCATCGCTAACATCCACAGCGCCAATGCCTTCGCTCTGTTCCTGAAGAACCAGCGTAAATGGGAAACCATCGAGATGGATCCAGAGCATGCCGCACTCTTCATCCAGGGTTGCAAAGACCACGGTATCAACGCTGCGGAGTGCTGTCTGCCGCACGGTTCCTACCTGGTCAACCTTGCTCACCCCGATCCTGCTCGCAAGAAGCAGGCCTACGACTCCTTCTTTAACGACTTGACGCGCTGTCATGCGCTTGGCATCCGGTACTACAACTTCCATCCTGGAAATGCCAATGCCACTACTCGCGAGGAAGGCATTCGCATCATCGCTGAGAACCTCAACCGAGCACATGCGGATCCAGCAACTGGCAGTGTTGTCACCGTGCTTGAGACAATGGCAACTCTCGGCAACACTATCGGAGGAACATTCGCTGACATTGCCGCCATCATCAACCTCATCAAGGACAAGAGCCGTGTCGGTGTTTGTCTAGACACCTGCCACGTCTTCGCCGCCGGCTACGACCTCCGTTCGCCAGAAGCCTACGCTGCAACCATGGACAAGTTCGATCAGGAAATCGGCCTGGAGTACCTCAAAGCCTTCCACGTCAACGACAGCAAGGCACCATTGTCTAGCTTCCGCGATCTCCACGCCCGCATCGGCACCGGCTATCTCGGCCTCCAAGCCTTCCACAACCTCATGAACGACGAGCGCTTCCACGGTCTGCCCATGGTTCTCGAGACCCCCGTCGACAGCGTTGACGCCAACGGCAAGAAGGTCGAAGACAAGGGTATCTGGGCACGCGAGATCAAGATGCTCGAGAGCCTCGTCGGCATGGACAACACCTCCGATGAGTTCAAGCAATTGGAAGCAAAGCTTCTAGCCGAAGGCACTGCTGAACGCGAACGCGTCGGCGACCAGGTTCAGCGCAAGGCCATCAAGGACGCGAAGCCTAAGAAGAAGCGCGTTACCAAGAAGAAGGTGGAGAGTGAGGATGATGACGAGGAGGACATGGAGGAATGAGATACAACCACTTGAGTACGTCGGGTAGCGCCATCACAAGGGATGGGTGGCGCATGAACTATTTTATCCTCGAGATGACTGTTCCGGCTCTGGTGTTATCCCTTTGGGTTGGTCTGGCGAAAGATGGAAGATGGGTATGGGGATGATGAGAGTAGGAATAGTGGGTTGAAATGCGTTGATTTGACTGGATTTTGGCTTCGGCCTTTTTATCTCCTATGCGATACCCCATTCCATTGCATGGAAAGCATTTTCATCAGGGGGCATGCTGGGTATATACCACACGAAATCACAAGACACATATCATGAACGGTCGATAGTTCTGACAAGACGTACGTAACTGCACTGCAAGTTGCTGAGGCATCACTTGGCTCCGTAGATGCGCATCGGCACGCCTTACGTGGACGGTTACGGTGTACCCTGAGGTCTGACTACCTAGTTGGGTCACCGAGATGCCGAGGGCGGGTGCCGAGAATTCGTGTGTGCCGATTCGTCGTGTGCTAATGTGTCGCGTAGGGCGCAGTGCGTGTTAGAGCTTACTTTTCTGGCGTTTCGTATGGCTAGTGAGGTCAATGACTGATAAGGTAAGAGGGATGGCCAAGCTTGTTTGTAGTCGAGGTTCGTGGGGTTTGCGGACTTCGATTTGTTCGGAGGGATCTCGGGAAATTGTGGGGTTGTGGTCAGTGTATGGGGGTGAGGCTTCACATCTTTCAAGTCAAGGCAAGACGCGCGGATGGTTGAGTAGTAATCGCTTAGAGGACCACCTCCGGTGAAACATTCGCTAATTCGAATAGTCTCCGAACGACTGCCCTATGTCGTCGAGATGCTACTACTGCACACTGATGAAAGAAAGGATGCTTGGATGGACGGTGAAGCAGCCACACCAGCATCACTTGCAGTCCACACTGCATATAGTGAAGTAACATAAAGTAGGAACGGTAAGCATACCGAAAGCCACAGTCGCAGTTCACTGGCCGGATAGGAGAAACACTGATGCTTCTTGGAGTGTTCGAGGCTTCTGGCGTGGGAGGGGTCTATTTCGGTTCTAGCGGCTTGGCATTCCCCATCGCTCTTGCAGTCCAGTCTGCCTTTCCGTCCTACTCTACACAAGACGCATACGCGGTCTGACGACATGTGTAACACACTCGGTGGGCACGATTGAGACCACTCAGAGCAGACTCACAATACAACTGTCTGCGGCGCGTCCCAGATTCATATAAAGTCTGACCAATCATCTCCACCTTCCACCCCATCTAGCCTGATCAGGTTCCATGTCGCGAACACGTGGGGTGACGAGCGTCTTCTTCAGCCATCAGTCCACCGCCAGATCAGGGTGCCGAACAATAACCCCTGTGGACCTAAGCCTCGCCTGCAGCCACGGTATGGAACTCCCCCGAGACGCCTAACGGAGGCAGGCAGTTTGCATACATCATACACAGCATCGTTCGGCAACCATATGGCCACCGACGTGCGTTGACAGCAAAAGTCTCAGCTCAAGCTTCTCAAAATCCTGCTGTTTTTCACGTCTCATCTTTGCGTCATTCATTTCGCTTGTTGTTCATCCTTGGAAGGTGCATTATTGTGGAAGTATGGTTGGTGTTCCGAAAAGCACTGGGTGCCTCATCTGCCGCAAGAGGAAGATTAGTAAGTCGTCTGTGGCCCTCTTCCTTGCGGATAACGCCTGACTAAGGACAGAGTGCGGTAAGGCTAGCTCCACCAGAACGCCCCGACTCAACCGTTCTGACTAGTAACGATCAAGACGAAAGTTGGCCGACATGTTTGAATTGCCAGAAGAATGGAAAGCAATGTCCAGGAGCCCCCGCGCGACACACGTTCAGAGATCTCGGGCATAGGCTGAGTGGAGGCGCCACACACTCCTCCGTAGAAGAGACCGCATCACCAGGTAAGTTGATATTCAGTGCACACGACTACGATACTGATTTGTGCACAGATCCGGACAGACAATTAACACAATTAAACGAGAAGTTTGCCGACAATGGGTCCGTCACCCACAAATTCAGGATATCAAACAAGAGTTCAACACCACGGAAGCGGTCTCCACGATCAAGTTCAATCAGCTTATCTCCACCTAAATCGCCCTTTCTGAGACAACCGTCGCCATCACAGCATCAACAACTCGCACGCTCCTTGATCGCAGCTACCACAACAGGCAGTACCGGGCATCGCATGTCGGTCTTTGGTCGGTTTATCCAAGAGGTACCATCTAGGATCGGACACAATGCTGCCCTTGATGCGGCAGTGACAGTACTGGTGAATGTCCATACCTCGCTTGTATACAAGAAGACTGCAGACGAGATCGTTTCGCCAGAGCTTTATATACGGGCTATCAAAACGCTCCAGGGATGCCTCGAAAGCCAGCAATTAGGCATGTCGCCCAATACTCTCTGCGCATCAATACTTCTTGGTCTTGTAGAAGTGAGTCTTGCCTGGTTGAGCTTGCACCCGTACTTACATGCCCAGGCTTTTGCAGGTCCCAGAACAGGCAACCGTTACCTAACCCACGTAGGCGGAGCCGGACGATTAATGGAATTACAAGGGCCTTCTAGATACACGGACAGTTTTACGAAAGAGATGCTGCGCTTCAATAGAGGCGGGATAGTAAGTTGAACGAAGTCTCGATGATGCGGTCGTGTCTATTAACTCAGACATACACGAGAAAGCCAACTCAAGACTAATATGTCGACAGATTATTACATGCATATACGAACGAAAGTCATGCTTTCTCGCATCGCCAGAATGGCGAGACATCGCTTTCGACAAGACTGGGCTCAGTTTCGACGACTGCCTGAATACTGACCTGATGCAATACATGGCCGAGTTGCCTGGTATCTTCAACACATTGAAAGAGTTGGACGAAACTTACACCCTACAACCGCTCCACACTACGAGCTTTGATTTCAGCTCCAACGGCGAAGTACATAAACCGTTGATCGACACGCCCCCATCACTCGACTTCTCCACCGACTCTTTCGACGACATTGACTTTCTAGAAGACATACGGCCGGTCAAATCATCATATCCAAACAGCTCAAATCCATACACATCTCAATACGAATCTGTACGGACAGCACTTCTGTACAAGGTATATGAGCTCAAAGACGCACTCCGCAGTCTAGGCGAACACATGAACACGAAGCTCACAAACGGCATCGCCGTCTCCGAGACGCCGTCAAGAGAAAAGAACAGTCCAACACAAACAACCTACCACTTCAACAACTGGCGCGACATGACCGCCTACAACTGCTTCTGGTCCGTTATCATCCTAACGAACAAAGTCCTAATGCGCCTCCTCCCACCCTTCGACCACGCGCGCTATCAACTCAAATCCGAATGCCGCTGCGCCGCCATCGAGATCTGCAAAACATGGGAGGACGCATGGGCCAGCAGACCGATTGGCGCATTCCACACTGGCTTGAGCTTTGTTGTGGCATACGAATTTTGCATACCGGAAGTTCAAGCGTGGATAGTAAGAAGTTTGAACTCTCTTCTGGATTACCATCAGGTCGATGCGTTTCGTTGGTCGGACGAGGTCATTGTTAGTATGGCGCAGAAACTTGCTGGGGAGGGGCCAGCGGTTGCGTTCTCGAATGTTAGGGTTGAGGAGGAGGGGCGATGAATGGTATTCTCTTCATGTCCGCAGCTTTTCTGGCAACTCATGTCTTGCCGTTAACTGAGGCGCGATCTTAAGGGATCCGGTTGAATCGCCAAACCAGGACGGATTGAAGCTCAACCACAGCGGCACACAGCAATGATATATGAAACTATGACACCAACTTCATGATGCGGAAAGATGTTGATGGTTCCATTCAGTTACCGATACTCCATAGGAAAACAAGCTCGGAAGATGCCCTAAAGAGGAACGCAGAAAACATAGCCTACACCACCTTGACCTCGCCCGCCACACGGTTCACCGGTCAGCTCTATAGACCAGGGTTCTTACAACAGCCACACTCCTCACTCCACGCAACAATATCGTTTTGCCTCAATGTGCAATGCGAAGACCCCGAGTTACTCATCCACTCTACGTTACCACAGTGCCAGTGCCTTGCGTCGTTACAGTAACAGGGCTCTGCTGACTGACAAACACAACCAGCACAGCCGCATATGCCGCTGTAGCAGCAATGACGTCCTTCCTTTGCGCCGTTGTCAGGAAGCCTAACCACCCGGCGAAAGTCACGACGAATGCGGTGACGGTAGCCAGTTTAGCGACGGTGTTGTCTTCTAGCCGCCACAGAACCCACATCGCAGATATCAAGAAGCCGATTGAGATTATCGTGCCGACGAAAGTGACGAATTTCTGCATCTTCTGTTCGTTCACGTATGTTGCTTTGTCGTTTACGTTTTCGTTTGCTTCTTCGTCTGCTTTCCTCGTTGCTTTCTTCTTTGATTCGGGGGTCTGCAAGAATTAGGCTTCCATGGGAAAAGGAGGATAGCAGGGCTAACCCAAAAGAGAAACGGCTAGACATACTAGGAAGAAGTGATACAGCCATTTATCGACGAACTTGGAGATATAATCGTTCTCTGCGGGAGTGAAGAGACTGATGAGATCGGGTCGTGTCATCTCGCCGCTTTTTCCTTTCAACCGATACTTCAGCCTGTAACCCCACCATGATTTACCTTTGTGGGATCCTGGGGTGGAAACATATCGATCGATTGCTTCCACTGTTCGTTCCGCAGGGGGGTCGAGATGTAAGACCTGACTGTAGGCCAACAAAAGGTCATCTGGAACACATATGAGCAGATTTCTTGAGTAATTCGGATGTAAGGCAGTGTTATACAATATTCCTTCACAGTAGAGCCGACCGCATTACCAAAGCCTCCAGCTTCCAAGGTCTCCGCATATTCCTGACTCCCAATTTTGCCGCTGGTGCAAATGTTGTGTTTCTTCTCCAGGCCGTCTAATTCTCTGCTCAACAGAAGGAGCCGATATACGGCAAGCTTGTCGTATCTTCGGAATACTGCGGCAGCCTTGCTGGAGTTGTGCGCTAGGTAATCGGCAATGAAATGGGGATCCTCTCTCCAGTGTTCGCTCTTGGATCGGCCATCATTGGTGTTGCTGGTTGGAGGATTGTTCGCACGCAGTTCAAAATTCTCCTGTGGGAACACTATCCCTACTGGAGACACCGGTTCGGCAGCGGGTTCGTCAAGAGTAATTGATAAACCCCCCGCTAATGATGACGTTGCGCTCTCGTTGTCCCTGCGAGTATCTGGTCTATTAGACATGGAAATAGGCGAAACCGGATGCGGTGTTTATGCTGACTTTGAAAGGGTGTTTGATATGGACATGAGAGTTTGACAAAAGGTTTTCAGTGTCTCTGCGTCAAATCATGACACCAAGCTGCTTTATCAATGCAGCCTGGAGGACAAGGGCAAGGGCCTCGTTTATCTTATCCACACCGGTCAATGTTCATTTTCAGCTCCGGAAGCAAGGTTGTTCGAGTCCAGTGAGCGTGAAGTAAGACAGCCACATCACCTTGTATACGACATGTTAGGAATAGTTTAGGTTGCACAACAGCTCACTAACGCATATGCGTACTAGGAGAGTTCGTGGCGCAGGTGTTGTCGCGAAGCTGAGCTCTCAGCCCCGCTCGTGCCATGCAACCAGCCCCACCACTTTTCAGTTGTCCTCTTGAAATAAAACGGAACGAGACCTTCACGATCGACATCAGTGGTTCAAATACTTTTCCAAGAGCACGCGAATCTGCATCTCAAACCTCTCTCTTCCTCATTCCAGATGTCTAGTCCATGTCAGCGTTAGAGATTGGTCCTATGGCAGTACCGGCAGTACCGGCAGGTTACGATGAATTCGGTCCCGACAACGAGGTTGAGGATCATCCAGCAGGAATACACGACGATAAACCCCATCCAAACCACGGAAAGGACAAGTTAAAGAAGTGGTTCAGGTCTCTGGGAAAGAGACGGAGGGATGAAGAGGAAGAAAGGAGTCAATGAAGATGGATGGAGAATGCGTCAAACATTGTTCGTCATGCGCAGTCTCCACGGAAGAACGACAGCAATGGTGTATCAAGAGAATCAAGCGCAATGTCGCGCGTCACAGCGCACCCGACTCCCAGCCTCGTCAGCTCCTGGCTTACCGACAAGATTAACATCCGGAACCAACCTGCCTTACAAGGCTATCTGGACCCTATTTACGGCGGAGGCCTAGCGTCTGTTATCGCTACCTCACAGCTTGTGTATTCATCGATAATCATCCGCTGCCAATCGAACGAGTACAATGCTACCGGACCGCTGCAAAACCCCGCTTCACAACTTCACATATCCACGCCTGCAAAGCAGCGGCTGAATCTCGGTAGAGAATTCACTGGTTTTGACCCCATCGGATTCATAGGTTGTCCGCGGGTGTCCTGTCGATCCGAGAGACCCATCAGAAAAGGAGCGAGAACTGAGGGTAGAAGGTTGAAGGGGCTCATTCGCAGCTCTCGGTGAGGCAAAGGTGCTTGGGAGTCTTATCGATTCAGCCTGAAAAGTGCCTATGAGGCTGTCGCTTATTTTGCCCATGTCCGGTCAACATTGGTTTTCAGCTCTGGAAGCAAGCTCTTATTTTTGACCAGTAAGCGTCTGCGGAGGTCAGCCACATCAGCCCCTCGCAAATGATATAGGCATGGATTCAGCCGCAAAACATCCTGTTTAGTGCTTGATATTGGAGCGTTGGCGTAATAATTATCGCAAGCTGAGTGTTCGCCTTCGCTCTGGATGTCCGCTTAGTTATCTAAAGCTACATGCGTTTTCTCTTTCTTATCAACACCCAGCCACAGTAGATCAGGTCGGCTGTAATGGCCACAAACATCCAAGAAACCTTTTGCCTTCAAAATATCATCAAGCTGCAGTTCTGCGTAAATGAACCCCTCTTCTGTCTCTGGTGGACCATCAGCCACCAGGCGCCCATCCGGGCCAAAGATAGCTGAGCTACCTCCACCAGGGGTATTCATGGTGACGCCGGAGGCTGTCCGCAGTGTAGCGATGCCTGCATCACTCATTACCGCTGTAGTATGCAGAACAAAGGATTGCGACTCCATGGCGTAGACTTGGGAGAGGCTGCGGCAACCTGTTTACCAACTACATTAGCTAAGGGTGACTCTGCTCGTATACAATATGATAACACACCTTCTTTGCTCATGGAGTACAAGCCTGGACCGCCATCATGATCGTACAGCGGCGGCCACGCAGCAACATGTATGGTTTCTCTCTGATGGTAAGTGTGGTATTTGAGCAGTGGTTGCGTATGCTCCCAACAAGCCAGAGCACCAACGCGTCCAACGTCCGGCAGCTCCACGACGTTCTGGAGAGCAGAGCCCGATGCATCTCCAAATATCGTCCTTTCCATGTGCGTCGCTTTCAGCTTCCGACGCAGAACTTCGATACTACCCTCGGCATTGATGATAGCTTGTGAGATGTAAAGCGAGCCTTTGAAGTTCTCGCTGAACCCAAGCACAACGGCGATATGGTGGTCTGCAGCACTCTGGCAGATGCGACGCATCTCGGTTGAGTCTACATGCAGAGAGCTCTTCATGTAAGCTGTCGAGAGCTCGAAGTCTATGGGCCTTGACCTGGCACCACATATCAGCATACCTTGGAAATCGACGAAGGACAGTTGTATTCGCGAACGTACCATATCCAGGCTGGATAACCTGGAATCCAACATTCGGGGAACGACACAAGTTTTGCGCCGTTCTCTGCTGCCTCGCGGATCAAACGGCAGGTCTTCTCGACAGCTTTTGGTAGGTCAAGCCATGCTGGCTCGAACTGAGCGACAGCAACGCGAACAGTGGATGATGGTTGATGTGACATGACGTGGATAGTGTGTTGAGCGTAGAAAAGTAACAGATATCTGATCACGTTGTATTTCGAAGAGGATATTGATTGCGGAAATACAAAAGACCGTACATATCACTATGGCATTAGCAACGAAATGACTGCAGCCATCAGATAAGTGGGCACGAAGATACAGAGGTTCACTAATCTTATACAGCAACACAAAAGGCGGGGCTCCTGACTGCTAGCAGCGGAACCTTCCCGCTGGATAGCCAAGACACGTCCAATCAGGGGTGTCGGCGAGCTTCGAAGCCGACATGTCTCTACACCGGCAATCTTACCTAGGTATCTTTGATTTCGGCGCTTCTCTGTCGATAGACGGTTTTCTTGATGCTAATAGATGTTTAATTCGACCGAAAAAATGCTCGGCTGCGGACATTTGGCTCTGCAAGTACTATTCGTGTGCGGACTGTTGTGCGACATTTACTGACTTCGTGTAGCAATCTTTGAGCGACTGCCCCAATTGCTCGGTTGATGAGTGTCACATATATCTAGTTAGTTCCCCAATACACTCCACTGCTCTTCCCGCTTTTCTCCACTATTCATCGACTCTTATCCAGCAATCTCAATGCCGCTCTTCATTGTTGAGCCTGCCGACGGCATGTCGGCACCCACCCTCGGCATCTCGGTGACTCGTCTAGGTAGTCAGTGTAGCCATCAGATACACGCGTTGTTCAGGAGCATGCGCGATATCGCAGATGCCTACGGGACTGATAGATGCTGACAGTATTTAGGCAGCGATACAGACCCAGTCTTCGACACAGCTCTCAACGCCTCGCTACC